CTCTCTCTCTCTCTCTCTCCGCTTCTGCTCTCAGTGCACGAGGATGACGAGTTGGTGCAAATGGCACTAACGGTGCAAACACTGAATAAGGCTCAACGATTATTGGACCACTCCGGCTTATTGATGAGCGCGGGCGATTGGGCGATTCTACAAGATTCAACGCCATGGTTCATTTGCACCTACGAACGTGGCAGCGTCTGGCTTTGAAGTTCGAGGCTTTGGGCATCCCTTTGTGCAATATCCGCCCCAAACACCACTATCTACAACACCTTGCTCTGTATGTAGCTGCGACGCGAGTGAACGTGCGCATTCATCAGAACTTCAATTCTGAATCCTACATGGGCAAAGTAAAAAGGATCGCTATCAAGTGCCATTCGGTCTCTATGCTGCTGCGAGTGCAACAGCGGTATGTGCTGTACTTGGCCTTGTTATGGGACCGAGCAAAACGAGCATCAGCTATGGAAGCTGGGGCTTTGGCTACTGCTGGAGACGGGGGCGAGACTGTGCATGGCATCTTGGAGCGCGACTGGCAAATGGACCGTAAAAGAGCTGTGAGCTCGTCTTCAGCATATGCCTTTAAAAGACGATGCATCATGAGCAAGTGACTGCAGACCGCACTTTTGCTTCGAGCTGCGAGATGTGTGCGACGGCTCCGAGTGTGTTTGCAAAAGGTTTACGAATGCGGTTCAGTTTCTGTGCTTTCGGAGCATGCATGGGGGATACTTCGTATGCGACGGCTCGCACATGCGGTTCAGTTTCATGCTTTCGGAGCGACATTTGGGGGGTCTTCGAACTCATTTAAAAAAACTCTCCTATAATTCAGAGCTACCAGGGAATGTTTTTTGCTTCAGGGTTTTCAAGGGTAGCACAAGGTGTGAATTAGAGTGTATACCCGAACCAAGAATCCCGAACCCAACCTGAGGAGCAGCTTTAGCCAGACCGCGAGACGCATAGAGCTGCATATGTTACATAACCCATAAAACAACCCTAAATAGTCAGACACACACAGACACACACACACACACACATGCGATATATATATATATGTGCATGCATACAGACTGCATACATAGCACCCTACCAAACCCTAATTTAATGAGTTTGGCTCAAATATTGGCTCAAGCCAAACTGATTATTATAATCAGTTTGGCTCGAATGTTGGCTCAAGTGTTGATACCAGCAATACGCCATCAGCGCAAGCGTTTTTCGCATCAGCGTAAGTTAAGGCGAGTAAACGCCATCAGCGCAAGCGTTTTTTGCATCAACGTAAGTTAATAGCCAATAAACGCCATCAGCGCAAGCGTTTTTTGCATCAGCGTAAGTAAATGGCCAATAAACGCCATCAGCGCAAGCGTTTTTTGCATCAGCGTAAGTTAATGGCCAATAAACGCCATCAGCGCAAGCATTTTTCGCATCAGCGTAACTTATAATGGCCATGAACGGCATCAATTTCCACGTCAGCCGATCTAGAGTTCATGCTATGTATACGCAGCGTATACGCATATACGCAGCGTATACGCAAGTATATGCAGCGTATACGCAAGTGTACGCAGCGTATACGCAAGTATACGCAGCGTATACGCAAGCACAAATACAAATCACGGCGTTCGACATACGCTATTGTATATTGTTTCCGCTGGTGTGCAAAACACGCCTTTCGATCCTCACGGTAGCCTTCCCGGAGAGGTCACAGACACAAAAAAAACGAGAAGGGGTGCGAAAAAAGAGAAAGACACATTTTTGGCATTTTGGTTTTTTTTATCTCTTGATTGATCTTATTAAAACATAGATCCTTGTGACAGATGTCGCAGAATGCCTGCTGCGATAGCAGCAAATCTGAGCTTGAGCCGGTTTGAGCCTTGCTTGAGCCGGTTTGAGCCTTAGGGTTGAGGTCTTAAGGTCTTTAAGGTCTTGGCGGGGGTTTAGGATTTGTGGGGTGAGGGCTTGACAGGATCACTCGGAAGGCCCCCTTAACCAAAAATCGTTTTCACCTCGCTCCCGCCCGAACTCCGTGAGCCAGTGAGGCACCGAAGCTGCTAAGTACCGCCTCACTGCCTGTACATGCGCAGCACTTGCATGGCATCCAGAAGCCTCGGATCGATGCCAGATAGCAACACTCGATGCTTATGATGCTGCATCCCATTTATGATATAGCCAAGAGGCAATCGAGCAGAGTCGCCGCACGAAGTCTTCATCACCGAAGCAGGAGTTTATGCGAGGGTTCAGAGGAAGCAGCTCCAGATGCAAAGCCCGAGTCTACCGACCCTGTCTGGACTGTCTGGACCTTCCTCCAAACGTACAGGAGGAGGCTGGCCCCAGTCGAGCGACCGGTTCGGGAACTGGGACTGGCCGAGACCAAGAGCCTCGAGACAAAGGACGCCACAGGGTCTGGGGCGAGAGCTCCTCTGGCCGAACACACCACCCTTACGCCCAACCTGCCCCGCTTGAGGGACTGGCCCTCCCCCCGGTCGCAGTCGTGGTTTTAACCATTGCGGTAGTCGGTGTAGCTGTGCTACTACAAGGGTGTAGGGCGGACCGGCGTCTCTCAGCCCCGAGCCCTGAGGCGAGCTTCTCGCCCGGGGTCGAGGGACTGAGAAGGGCAGGGGCCTCAGTGCACTTCGAAGACTCTGGGCCTATCGTACCCCCCACACGCAGGGGGGCCAGAACGAAAGCCCAAACCCCGGCGCCAGTCACGGTACCCTTTGTGGGAGGTCCGAGTAAGGCTAGACAACTCTACCCGGACAGCAAGGAACTCCGAGTGGCGCACTTGCAAGCTAGGAGGGGGAGAGTGGAAGGCGGAGACCCTCCACCTTCTCTTGGCCAGACTGGCTGAGACCACTCAGAAGTCGTACCTCTCCCAGTGGCGGTGGTGGGAGCTCTTCTGCGCCCGAAGGGGTACCTCCCCATGGAGAAAGGTCGCTGCGTACTCTGCTTCCGAGGAAGACCTCTTTGTGCAGTATGTGGTGCACTGCGGGGTGAACTCCGACAAGGCTCCCGGCACTGTGAAGGTGCGAGTAATCCCGTAGGATTCCT